AGCCCCGCGGGCGCTGGGGACAGGTCAGCCAGGCCTTCGCCAGCCTCCTCGGTGAGAGCCTGGGCCCCGGGAAAGGGCTGGCAGAGGGAGCGGGGATGCGTGCGGGGCCACCGTGTGTCCTCCGCCTTCCACACGCTGAAGCCCAGGGTGCCCTCGCTCCTGCACCAAGGCAGTCCTGAAGCTCTTGATGTGGCCTGTGCCCCATAGCCAGGACACAGGCTCCCCAGGAGGGACCCCAGGAGCAGCCCTGTCCCAGCCCTGTGGGAGCATCAGCTCTGGACTCGGCTCCATCCCCCCTCAGCTCCATCCCACGGGGCTGCCACCTTCCTCTCCTGCAGCAAAGCTGAACACAAATTGTCCTCATGGGAGGGGAGGACCACAGGCCACCTGTGGCCATGAGCAGACCCCAAAGCCCTTTCTGCCCCCTTGAGCTTCCTCCCACAGTGCCAGCCCCGTCCTCTCACCCTTCTCTCCCTCTCCAGATCTCACACCGACCATTTTGGACTGGTTCTCCATCCCCTACCCGACTTACAGCATCTTTGGCAGAAAGAAAGTGCAGCTCACTGGAAAATCGCTCCTGCCAGCGCTGGAGCTGGAGCAGCCCTGGGCCACAGCCTTCAGCAGCCAGAGCCACCACGAGGTCACCATGTACTACCCCATGCGGGCCATCCAGCACCAGCAGTTCCGCCTCATCCACAACCTCAACTACAAGATGCCCTTCCCCATCGACCAGGACTTCTACGTCTCGCCCACTTTCCAAGACCTGCTCAACCGGACCAGGGCCGGGCAGCCAACCCACTGGAACAAGACCCTGCACGAGTACTACTACAGGCAGCGCTGGGAGCTGTTCGACGGCAGCCGCGACCCCGGCGAGACGCAGAACCTGGCCGCGGAGCCCCGCTACGCCGCCGTCTTCGAGCAGCTCCGCGCGCAGCTCTTGAAGTGGCAGTGGGACACGGGGGACCCGTGGGTGTGCGCCCCGGACGCTGTCCTGGAGGAGAAACTGAGCCCCCAGTGCCAGCCGCTGCACAACGAGCTGTGACCGTGCCTTCGCCTCGCTGTCCCCGTGCTGCAGGGCGATGCTGGGCACCTGCCAGGCCTGGTGGCCTCTGCCCTGTCCTTATCCCGTGCTGCCAATGGCGCAGCTGTGTTCACAGCCAGGGGGTTCAAGGCCAGTGCTTGCAGCCCGGCGCCAGGCTGCGATGCCCAACCACTTTCCAATAAAGCAGCCGGAGGAGAACGGCTTGGCTTTTACCCAGAGCTTAGCGCTTTCCCGCCGGGTCCATTTCTGCAGTGCTGCAGGGGCCATTGCTGAACCTCGCTGCAGAGCTCTGCGCCCAGGCAAGTGTGCAACAACCTCACGAGCAACGCGGTTTAATTTAGCAAAACACGCCACGTGCGGAGCATTTCTGGAGCGCGCCCGTCCCCAGTGCCCAGGGCACTGCGAGCCAGGCTGGGACACCTGCCCCCGAGGCAGAGCCAGGGC